GCGAAATTCAAAACAAATAAACAAACAAACTTATTGGTCAAGTAAAACAAATAGAATTGATGGGTCCATTCCATGTGTGTGTTAACTTGTAAAGTCTGAAGGTTTTGATTTCACACATCTTTTATAGTGAAGGCAGGTAGTATTCATTAATTGTTTTTTTTTGTACCCATGCATGTATTTTTCTTTGTTACTCTTGCATGCCTCCAGAAGCTGGTATCCACATTTTTCCTTAAGGGCTCCACTGTCATGTCTTAGTACTGTTTGTCTCTGAACAGACTGGATAGACAGATGGGCTTTTCTCTGTTACAGGAAAATTTTGAACTTCTATAGACTTTGTCTCATGGGTTGATATCTATAAACCTCATGCTGGTGAGAGGTAATTTTCTTTATTTCTCAAACAGTTTTCCAGCTCCTAATATGTCTTTCATTGAACTTGTTTGAAATTTGGAAGCAATTTTATATCTTCTGTTGGAATGTGACAAGTTTTGAAATTATGTGTTTAATAGTACCTGTTCTGCTTTTGTATTTAGATTGCAGCTTAAAAAGTGAGTTAAGATCATGTACATGGCTCACTCCGTTTGTTGTTAAATTCAACTGATGAAATTGGGTTAACTTCTCTCCTTTGGATGTGTGTCTGTGTTTTTGTAAAGCTACTTAATCATACTTTACCTTAACTAAATAACCTCATGTAGCATCATTTGCTGGATAGAAATAGGTTGTGAATGAGTACTGCTGTTCTGTCATGTTTGTCTCCTCCATTCTCATCCTCTGACTTTTCTTTTTTAACTGTGTTGCAATATCCAGTATTTAACAAACCACTGCTGTTTTAGGAAACTGGCATATCATATTGATGGGTGGTGGTGGTTTTGAAACTGCGGAGTTTCAGACGTTATTTTGTGGACAGAGCTGTTCAGACGAGAAGATTCATTCTGTGGCATTATATATATTTTGTTTGTGGAAAGCAGGTAAATAAAATCTTTGAACTACCTTTCGTATCCTCTCCATCTAGGTAGTTAGAAAAAGAAAATAACTGTGCAACTGCACTTAGGTGAAGCTTGGTAAGTTTTTTTGTAGTAGTTCTACTACTATAAAATATTTTTGGCTAAAAGATGATTTGTGTTCAGCTCCACCTTGTGTTATCTTCAAGACTCTTCCATTGTCATAGCTTTAGGATTCTAATACAGATGGTTTGAGAGAGAAGTATATATATATGTACTAAATTTTTGGAATGAAATACATTTAAATAATTTCTTGCATCTTTCGTCACATATTTTCCCCTTTTCATATCATGTGTTCACAGTTTGAAATTATGTTCCTGTAGAGTTTTGTGCCTAAGTTGAATGAAGGGAATTGTAGGTAGGTTTTGTTGAAAGCCTACAGTGGTTGATAGCTGACGTCTTTGAGAAATAATGTAATACAGAGTGCAGGTATACTGGGAAAAAGGAGTCAGAATAGCCTCACATATGTCTTTATGTTAAAAAATTTCAGTTTTGTTAGACCATTTTGAAATCTTTGTGCAGATACTCGACTTTAACCCATTCACTGCAGCTGGGACTTGTATTTCTCAGTGCTCCCGCCCCCTCACACTGTTTACCATTGTCAATGCTGTTTATGCCTTCCTCTACTGGGTCCAGGTTCATCATCTTGACTATCATCAGTAGATGGAGAGCTAGCATCCTCTTGTCTCATTGCCTCTTCATCATCACACATTTGAACACAATTGGACACACTTTCACTATCTGATACAAGAGCATCAAGCATATTTGTATAGTAATTAGGGTTACTACTTGCCGCTCTAGTGATGCGGGCACGGTCAGCACGCAGGTGTCGTACATTCCACTTAGGCACATTGTTGGTCACTGAAGGTCTGAGTGGAAAACATTGAGGGAAACCATATATCAGTCAACATTAGGTGGGATGCCAGTAAATACTTTCCAACTCATTTTACTCCCATACGTCACATGTGGCAATTTTGAATGATAATGGGAAACATTTGTCCCAGTTGCAGTGTGAGGGGGTGGGAGCACCAAGAAATATACATCCCAGTTGCAGTGTGAGGGGTGGGAGCACCAAGAAATATACGATCCAGCAGCAGTGAAAGGGTTCAAAAATGTATTGCATTTTACTGTATTGTTTGTTTCAAAAGTATCCACTAACTTACATGGTGTTTAGTTATCCATTTTATTGAAATTAGAAAATAAAGTATTCTTGACTTGAAAATAAGATGTTCTTAGATGATTAATTTTAAGAGAAATTTATGAATATTTTGTTAAAAGAAGTGTTATAATTTTCTTTCAGAATTAGAGTTTCAGTAAAAAAAGTGAACACCTTTGATAATGCAGAAAAGAACAAGAAATACTTGGTAAGGAATACTTTTTTGGTGTGAATGTAAACTATTGAAATGAGTAGAGTTGTTATTTGATGATTCACATATATGTACTCGAACATTTTATCAATTCCAATTCATGTGGTTGTTTCCTTTGAATAAACTAATTTTACAATCCATTGCCCTCCAGCGGCACAGCAGTATGTCTGCGAACTTACAACGCCAGAAACCGGGTTTCAATAT